GCTGGAGGGAGTACTTCCCGTGGCCCAGCTGGTAATTTTTACCTGCCTGACAAGCGTAAGACCGAGGCTAATGACAGCGTAGCCATTTCGCCCAATTTCATCATGTGAATAGGGAAGCCAGCAGTTAGATCCAAGTCTGACGCATCATTTAGTTTCGTCACTATAAACAAGTGAACGTCTCCATTGGCCACCTACCGCGACCTCTCTAGCTTCCAACCCTCGTAAGATATAAAATCAATTTCCTCCATTGAAGCCTTATTCGCGCGAAGACGAGCGATGTCCATTTCGAGTTCCAAGACTTTGTTCTCTCTCCGGAACGCAGAGTCCATTTAAAGGAGTCTCTTTGACTGCTTCTGCATCACCGTGGATCCCCTCCAGATAGTCTCTATACAATGATGAGAAAATTTGTATATCGTAGATAGTTCAATCCGATAAATGTAGGCCTTCGGGAAAGCGAACGTGTGAGGGGCACCTTATTAAGTTAAGAGTCCTTTGCAGTAGTAGGCAGGGTTGCGGCAAATTTGCGTCCTTCTCCATCCTTTTTTTCAGCCTGCATAAAAGAGGCCCTACTTAAGCGTAGCTACCCCCTACGTTTCATTCAAAAATGCAGCAGCTCCTTACGGCTGAAATCTACGGACCAGTCGGTTCCGAAAAAGCCCATTTTTATACCTTTACCCTTTAAGGGAGACAATATCTCAAATAAAATTAAACGAAGAATATTTTGTTCCATACACAAGATGTGCTGTGCAGCCGAACTTGTGTTTCTCACTCCAAATAAAGGCCTTCTAGTTAACCGGTCAAAGGAAGCCTTGTTTTCGCATGTTAATCAGGAAATAGAGGATTGGGGTGGATGCTCCTCAACTCTGTTTCACTTGAAACCAGTTAACAGTCGGTGGAGGCAGAAAAGTGGGCAGTGATGATAATAAGGATGAATTACTTAACATAGGAGAGTCATAGACATGAAAAGGATGCTACCCTACCAATACCAGATATAGTAGACAAGCTGAGGCCCTTGCAGCCTCCGGCCGCAGTTTGTATCCTATCCAGGTAGTTAGGCAGAGTGGCTTCGTTCAGAACCCTTTGGAAGTGGGGGGGGTCGACCACATCCCCACAGGGGGTGAATGCAGACTGATCAGGGTCAGAAAGACTTGCACTACCTGCTTGTGATTAATGATCTTTTATGACAAAACGTATCAAATCAGGAAATGTCCTTTGATCATATTAAACAGCATGGGAAATCCCTTGACTATATGGCAACCTCCGATATCACCAAATCCTGCATGTTGTTTCCTCACTTTACAAGATAGAACATGTAGGTTTCTCTTTTATAAACATTGCGAGTTTTAGCTTCACTCAAGAAATCATAAGATGAATAAAACTAAATCTATGCTATTCTACTACTTCGGATTTCGGTCACAACATACCCTCTCTCCGTTATCTAAATTCAAAATTGTCTTGGCCCACATTATACCTCATCGCCTACATTAGAAGTGATAAGAGAGCAGGACACTCTTAAGTTAGGCACAAACGCCAATCATAATGTTTTACTTCATGAACTAGTCTTTAATGCAGTGTAGTAAAACATAGACTGGAGGCCTACAAAACACCTTGAAACGGTAACTACATACTACCCAGCTGGTGATGCTAACAAGACAGTTGGATAAAGGTTTTTTTGCATTCACCTAGCTCAGTACGACTTTCAGGTTTTCTCCAAGTCCTTGGACATTATAAATGCAGAATGGAAACGGGTGTTGAAATTGTACCAGAAAACACACGGGAACGTTAGTGAGCTCCATTGGTGAGCCATACACCTCAACATTAAGACATGCCGCGGGAAGAGTTCGGTGAATCACACATGTCTGTGCACTTTTTCGTTTAATTATGCGTTCAATTACGATTCAATTAAGAGGGCAGGGTTTTTGACATGAAGAAGAGGTTAACCTACCAATACCGGATATAGTAGCAAAGCTAAGGCCCTTGCAGCCCTCCGCCGCAGCTCGTATCCTATGCAGGTAATTAGCCAGAGTGGCTTCTTTCAGAACCTTGGGGGATCGGCCACAACGCCGCAGGGATCAGAACTAGCTGCACCATCGCCTGCCGGTGATTGGGCAGGGCTGGTGATGTCCTTTAGCCAAGCTAAGAAATCACACAGAGCCAAGGAGTCCACGAGATTGGTCTGGCGCATGCCTGCCAGCTCGGCTTCATTTTTGATGGCCTTGGCGGAGGAGAGAGGGGAGATTTCGATGTAACGCAGGTTGACAGGAATGGCGTCCATCAGAGCATAGCTGGCAGTTGGCGGTAGCCAGACGCGTCCAGCCTCTAAAATGGCCCGGTTTCCCTTCAGTTCTGACATCCAACCGCGAAAGTCGCTGTATGCATGCCGTTCTACCTGTAATGGCCGTAAAAATATTTTGGGTCAGGTTACTACGCACAGTGGTCAGTAAAAAAAAGACAGGTTCAGGCCTCAGTGTTAACAGTGATCATTAACGTGTACGTAATGCAATGTTAAACCTGATTGGGTACACATTATGGTGGTTGTAAGGCCATACTATGCGATCAACCGTGTACTAAGGACCAGTCAAATATCTATCAAAAATCACAGAGACCTGTTTTGCAAACTTAACTTCATCATGTAGGTCGTTAACTGTTCAAAATATCTATTCAAAAATTATCTGAAGAAAATTAACCCTGATATCAGTCGGCGGGAATAGACAATAAAAGAACAGAACACTCCACTGGACGGGCACTTCGCTGTGTCATAAAGAGTCGCAGTTTAGGAGGGTTATGAGTTACCTTATGTGAATCACATGAAAAGTACTCTGCAAGATCCACTGACCCCGCTCCTCGCTCAGCGTCGATGAACAGATGTAACACATCTCGCGTCACCACGAGGTACGCGAAGAAGACGGGATTGTGTGAAATGTCGTCACCGCGGAGGTTCAGCAACCAGGCGATTTCATCCAGCGCAAAGATCACCACCGCACCTACGTTCTCCTTCACCATCTGAGCTCGCAAGTTATCCAATTTCTCCTGCCAGGTCTGACCCGCAAAACTGACGGGCACACTCGAGATGGGCTTGCGTGGACGAGGTGGACGCCGACTGGCAGCCTCCTCCCAGTTCTCCCAAACGCAGTCGACCAGATTGGCACCGGGCACCGGAATTAGCTGTCTTGGGGCAGACCCTGCAGAAATCTTGGCTTCTGCACACGCCAGATCGCGAATAGTCGACTCCACAGCGAAGAAGAGTAACTGTTGTGGATCAAAACCGATCCTTGCGGCAGAAGGCGTTGCCTGAACCAACCAATCAGTCACCTTGGGGACTTCTGGGAGACCCTCTCGCATCAGGTTCCAGTTTTCATCCAGCTGTTGAGCTGCCTAAACAAGAAATAGTAGTTTACAAACAAGGCAGGGAAATAAAAGTGGGACGGGGAGAGCGGATAATGCGAATGAAAGGAACATGTCAAGCCTGATAATGCGTAGGTGCAAGATGTTAGACCGGGATTGGAGGGTTAATCAATATAATGCCAGTTCATCGTTGATGAGGTCTTATGCGTAGAAGACGACTTACTGTTCAGCCTGCGTAGCAGATAGAGGCAGTGAAGACAAATTGGCGATCAGAGCGTGTGTCAAGATCTTCCGATATAAACCGGTAATACAACAAGCCCCTGGTTAAGTGGTTGGAGTGTTAGAATTCTGATCGAAACACTGCGAGTTTGAGCCTCGAATGGTGCATCATTTGTGGTTTGACGACGGCTAATCAGCCTTAAATTGCCATTAGAGTGTCCTTTGTCATAGCTGACAATACTGTCTGCGTACATTACTAGCTGTGGTGCGGCTTCTGGCGTGGCTCGATAATGAGCTCCAAGACAGAGCGGGATCCGTGAGTTCTATTAGGGGTCGGTGAACGTTCACCAACGAGTTTCAAGCCACAAGCAGTCGCCATCATCGACTTGAACCTCTACGAGATGTGTCAGAGAGGTGGATGAAGGAGTTTATCTTTGAGTTTACGGCTTACTGGAGGTCATACGTACAGTAAACTGCATTGTGTAGGCGTCACCCGGTGAACTCGACTCAAAAGCGGTCCAGGTCGTCTGAGGATCTATGGCTGGTGTTCGCGGGCTAGACTTACGGAACGCCACAAGGGTGAATTATCCTCGAATCTACGGAAACTCAATGTGCTGATTAGAAGGCGGAAACCTAATCGAAAATCGGCCGGTTTCTAAAACGTGACCACTCGTGGCAACTGCCACTGAATTAGAACCCCGCTGACTTTCAAGCAGTCCGAAGACCTGTCATCTGAATTATCTGTTGGCAAGGCTATTTTCGAAGGAGACCACTGGAATTCCAAAATAACGTGCTCCACGGGATGAAGACGTTAGGAGTTAACCTAACCGACTGCCAGCATAACCTTGTAGGCTGTCCTGATAAATCGATCCTGCGGTCCACGGCCAACAAGGATTGATTGTTCAATCTGAGCGTCCTCGAGATCATATGTCTGCGCTAGTGACTGTTCCCACTCGATGACCTAAAACCACTAGGTGGATATTCACTCGCACACACCACCGCACGCGCGCGTGCCCAAATATTTGCAATTCCTTAAGAGCCACCTGAGCGCATAACCCTGCGGCCACTTAGCAAGTAACCACAATACCCGACACCCTTCGAGTAATCGAACGCACCTATCAAGCAACATTTGAACAGGTTTCACTTATCAGCAACTATCACATTTCACACAGGGGTTGCATCAGGGACTTGCAGACACCTTCACGCGTGACTCGACGCAGTCCACCCATCAGCCCAGGCTTCGTCCGCGGCCACTGCCACTGCCACCCGAGACAGCAACTCCGGGTGCTGTAACCAGTAAAAATCCCCATTCGGGTGACTTCCACTTTTACATCCTTGTTTTTGTGTTCTTCCTTGAGGATTTAAACGGAGCATAATCAGACAGTGACATCTCAGCTTCTCAATGTTACAACCTTGCCTATGCAGGGGAGTTCCCGCCTCTGTTACCGTTGCAACAGGAGATATTGAGAAGAAGATGACTCGATCGCCGGGACAATACTTTTTTTCGCCTTACGTTTCGACATCCGTCGCGAATTCATAATCAGAGATATTAGCA